GGGGTGTCTGTCTTCTGTCCGAGGGTTTGGCAGCAGCTAGCACTTACTCCTGCTGAGCAGCCTCTTGGAGAATCACTCATGTCCATGAAAGACACTCGGCAAAAAGATGCCCACACTGCTGAGAAAATCAGGGTCCATCCGTGTCAGAACACTGAGTGTCTGTGTGGAAACACTGAAAGGCAGCCACCAGAGAGATGCCCCTAAGACGCTGCTCTCCCATCCACCCTGCTGCCCTTGTCTGGCAGCTGTCTACTCCCGTGCCTTCTAAAGTTGCCTTCTGAAACCCTGATGACAAACATGTAACCATCAGAGGATTTCTCGAAGGGTTTGCCTCACCTCTGCAGCTCCCTGTCACCAGTCTGGGTCTCCCTCGGGGCTAAGGGGTGAGGCTGCTGGAGAAAGTTCAGGTGAATGAACTGCAGCCAGGTCACCTGGCAGGGGGTGGCCTTTGTGTCTGCTTCTTCTGGATGTCACTTGCAGGGGCAGACTGAGTGCTGAGCTGAGAGGCTGGAAAAGGCCAGAGGCTGGAGCGTTTCTAGGAGACAGGAAGAAGGTGTCCACCTCCTGCTAAAACTCCAGTTTCCAGGAGATTTCAGCCACTCCCCACCCCCCCAAGACAGACCAAGGAAGCAGTTTTTGCCCCCGCAAAAGCAGGTACTGGTCCCTGGCATTGCTGCCTCTGACTACCAGTGTGGCCTTGAGCCTGTGTCCTGAGCTTCCAGGGCCTCAGCTGCCTTATTCAGTAGGGAGGAGGGTGGACAGACAGCCACGGAGGTCTCCTGCCCCACTGGCATTCTGTGGGACTCAGAGCTATGATCGGACACCTGTGGCCTTTGTCCCAGGCAGTAGCCCACTGCGTGCTGTGTCCTCTGTCGTCATCAAGGAAGGCTGAGTGTGAAGGAGAAATGCACTTTGCTTGCAGTTCAGTATTCCAACCCCCGCTCCCCACAGCATCCAGCAGCCTGTCCTATTTCAGAAGTTGAACTATTGACCTATTTGTCTTGAGCTCAGAGCCTGAGCTCGGGCTTGTCAACATCAACTGGAGGCAAAGAGACACGTTTTCTGATGGAGAAGCTAATTTCACATGAGCAGAGAGAATTTGTCTCAATTTCTGTTCTGGCCTCTGGACTTTCTTCAAAAGGACAGAACGGGAAATGCTTGAGAAAGTAATTTGCAACCTGTCCATAAACGAGGCTGGTTTGTGTATAAGTCTTGGGGATTATCGTGCTACTCTGTTTTCACATCTTATACTTGGCAGGATAAAGCAGACCTTGCTAGAAAATAATACTTCCCTACCACTAGAACCTGTTTGATAAATGTCAACTTGTGTTTTAGAAAAACATGACATTTTCCAACCTGTTGCTTCATGAGCCTACTTCAGTGAAGGTGGTCGTCTTTCTGAATATTTATTGAGTGTGCAGAAGAGGGAAGGGGCAGTGAGCTAGCAAGACACTGCTTTCTGGAGGAAACCCGCTTTCTGGAGGAAACCCGCTTTCTGGAGGAAACCCGCTTTCCCCATAGTTGTGCTGTGTGCCATGCTGAGAAAAGGCATGGATTTAACAGCTCTTCCTAAGCATCACCTTGTTCTTGGCAAGATCATAAAGTATCTTTGTGTGGCAGAAAGAAAAGCACTCCTTCTGGATGGCTTCCTTCACAGCCTCAGAGGTCTAGCTAACAGACTGAGGCTTTGACCATTGACTCCCAACTTGGACACAGCTTCACCGGCATACCTGAGAAGTCAGCAAGGACTAGATGGGGACTTGCAAGCACTGTTGCTTATAATCTGAACTTGGGTAAAGAGAAATGCTTTCTGTGCTTGAAGTGGAGCCTACTCCTTGCTGGGGACACTTCCCTTCCAAACTGTACATTTCACAAGGTTGTATTTTCATACCTGATGTCATCAGTTTCCCTTAAAGGAGAGCACCTGTAAATAACCCATTACTACAGCTAGGTAAATCCCACAGCGCATTTAATCTGCTCTCTGTTTACTGATTGCTCACCTGGCCTCCCACACGTAGAACAACATAATTTCTCAGGGCCTGTGTATTTTCCCATTAGATCCTGCCCACTCTAATGGCTGGGATCACACATTGGTGGTTTTCTGGGCTCAGGGACTTTTTTTTGTGTGGGCCACGTGTTCCTTCTCATCTTGCTTCTGAGGCCTGGTGTAACTTTCTGAAGGAGCCTGCCTGATACTCTCTCTTTCTCATCCCTCAAAGACCAGCTTAAACTTATTCCTTCTTCAAAAAGCTTGCCTGCAGATTTCAGAAAGCAACCCCTTGCTCTGCAACATATTGTTCTATCCTTAAACGTTGTACCTTCTATAGGCATATTGAGAGGTCTAACTTTGCATTTTTGACCATATATATATATGTATATATATACATACATACATACTAGGGTGCTAAAAATATGTATACACATGACTTATATTCATCTTTTGTTATCAGTATATATTACAACTTTAATACAGCTTTTTCCTTTCTTAAAATGTGTATATATTTTTTGCACCCTCTGTATATATATTCTCTTATCTGTTTTATCTTACAGGACTCCTGAATGCCTGCTAATGCTATTTTTTAAGGATGTAAATTCCTCATAAGGAGCAGGTCTGCTAATCTTGCTTGGCATAATGGCCAATAAGATGCTACCTGCCGGCAGATAACGTAAATATTTTTATGACATTCAAAATAGCCCTGTATATCCTTGTTAAATTCATTCATAATCCCCAGCAGTTCTGGAAAGCATGCTAGAGTATGATTTTCTCAGTTAAATTTAAAAAAAAACCACACATATGGTGCTACCTTTCCTATAAGGCACAGGTAACTTGCTCCAATTTATCAGTAGAGACAGGAGGGAAACCACCCACCCCTTTTCTGCCCAGGAACTTTCTGCTTCTGTTAGAAATGATTTTCAGAATGATGGTGACATCTAGGTGCTGGAGTTGGGTTTATGGGAGAAATTGTTTATTTTTAATCTGGAAATATTTTTTTTCAGGGAGGACCTAATTTGGTTTTGATGTAGTTACTGATTTTCACTTTTCTTTCTGTCCTTTGTCAAGATGCCAGGTAAGCAATGACAAGCACTGGATTTTAAAAAAAGAAGCCTGCAATTCAAGTTTACCTCTTATAGAAGCCTGCGACTTGTCTGATGGCAGACAGGAAGAACAGGAAATTCTTCCTCAAATGGGTGTGTAAAGCTACTTTTTCTCATGTCCTTTCCTGCCACCCCACTTGAGGAAATAGGCACTTAGCCAGAATGGTAGGGAAGGCAGCTCCATCCTTCTAGAACCCTCCTTTCGCATTCCCAAAGTGAATGCTCATTTTCCCTAAATGTATATGTGCCTCACATTAACCAGTGTGGACAAAATTAAGTCACTTCATCAGGGCGTTCTTTAATTTTCTACAGGTTAAAGGGGACACTACTTCTCCTCTGTATCCCTCTGCCTTTAAAACGTGGTTGGGTTTCATTAATAACAACAAAGTGTTTAGACATTGCATGTCAGCAAGTCAACATTCCAAATTCTTCATCACATCAGCAATCAGAAGAGCTTTCTTCACCTCTTAGAATAAGATGTCCAAGGTCATAATTTCCTAGGAGACAAGTCCAACCTGCTTTAAACCACAGGGGGTAAAGCTCAAAGCTGTGTGATATTGTTTTAGCTTCTGTCCAGTAAAACAGAAAAGGTGGATTTCTGAGGTAGAAGACGAGATCAAAAATAATTTTATCATAAATGTATTGCTTAACCCATTTTCAGAGAAGGAAGTGTTGTTTTTTTTTAAAAAAAAGATCCATCTCCCAAGCTAGGCTAAGAACTCATTCCTAGAATCGCCTCCCTCCCTTCACTAATCCACCCAAGTCATCTGCAGTCCTCACACCTCAGCCTGATGCCTGAACTTGACCTACAACTGACTGTTCATCCGGAAGTCGGGTTTACAATTTTTGAACCCCCGTCATTTAACTATTAACCTTTATTCAGAAGTGCTGAATCCACCAGGGCACCAGAGCACCAGGACACTTTTATTAACAAAGAAATCAGACGAAAAATCTAAGGTCTTTAAATGTTTTATTTTGTTGATTCTTCACGGAGCAACGAAACAAAGTTAGAGACAAAATAAAATGCCAGTTAAATTCGGCAACTACCAACAACCAAAAACTTTAAACATAAAATTCAAAGCAAGCTGCTGAAAGATCATAAAATAATCACCGGTGAAGTAATTTGTTAACGTCTGTAACACATCAAGACCGGTCACCTATGTAGTTCTCCAGTCGCAAAGCGGCGAGAAGACTTGCCAGGCGGGCGCTCTGATCGAAGACCCCGCAGGCGAAGGGACAGCGCAGAAAAACATCCTGCCGTCGCCACCGCAGCGGGGACCCGTCGAGCCGCGCGCGGTTTGGGACTCAGGCCCCCCTCCTTGTCTTTTAATGAGACAGAACGTTAATTAGCGATCGTACTTTCTGACTTGACGGCGACTGCGAAATACCCAGTTAACTATTTTTAGTAAACCGGGAACGCGGTCTGCGTGAAAGGCAGTTGGTTTTTCTTCTGAAGCAAGCTCAAACGTTGGTTACGCTACCTTTGGGGCAGGGGGCACAAAACGGTGAGTCTCGAGTTCTAAACTGTCCTTCTAGGAAGACCCCAGCTTTTAGGAGCAAATGATTTCTGCACCAAAACACCTGGTTATGTGATTCTCAAAAATTGCACTCTTAACAGCCGGGGTACCAAAGCGGACTCACTTCCCAAAGCAGCATACCCAGCGACCCTGGAGTTGTCATTGCTCCCTCCCGCGGAACCGCGATGTCACCCGTCGGGCTGGCGAGGGTCAGTCCATCTGCTACGCTTGGACACTCTGCACCGACTAACTGGCCTTTCTCGGCTTCCTGAGGTCAGGCGGCCTCCTTTGAGCTTCGGTGGTGGGGACAAGGATGCCCTCTGACGAGCGAGAAGGAAAAGAATTCCTCCCCCCGCCCTCTGAGAGCAGCCCTTTGGTCCCCTGGCTCGGCACATGTTGCCTCTGTGAGCAGGGGCTCTCGCAGCTGGCCTCCCGCCGCACCCGGGGCGAGCACCGCGCGGTTAAATCCACACCACCCACGCGAAGCGCACAACTCCTGGGACCGGGAGAGAAAGGTGCTGGGTGACATTGGGGGTGAAGCCGCACCCTTGCTGCCCAAAGCAGCTGGAATCCACCCAGAACGCCTACGACGCCGACGCTCCGTGGAACATCCGCTCAGGTCACGCTAATTCCCCCAGGGTGGGGGCAGGGAAGGGAGCGCCCGATAGTCCCTTCCTCTGGGCGAAAAGGTTCGAAATGCGCTCCTTGCTGGGCCCCACTCTCCCGGGGCGCAGGGCGCGGGGGCGCGGGGGCGAGAGGCCGGGCGGAGGTCGCGCCAACCGCCAGGGCCGGCCCTCACTTGGAGAACTGCGCTTGAACGGCGGCCAGGCCCAGGCCGGCCGGGACCAGGTGCGGGAACTTGCAGACAGCGCAGGTGCAGAGGCCGGGGCCGCCCGGGCCGCCGCCCGCGCCGCCGCCGGGGAGAGAGAACTGGCCGCACGGAGGCTCCTCGAGCGCCAGCGACAGGTACTTGGCTGGGCGCAGCGCGTCGGGCGGCCCCACGGCGCCGGGCGCCAGCAGCACGGAGCCGGGCGCGGCGGCCAGGAGGGGCAAGCCGGCCAGCAACAGGCGCGGCGCGGCGGGCCCGGCGCCCTCGCCCAGCGCGCGGCGCAGCTCCTGCAGCGAGCTGCCCAGTAGCAGGATGTAGTTGCGAGCGAGCAGCAGCGTGGCGATCTTGGAGAGCTTGCGGCCCGGCGCGCCCTGGCAGTGCGCCGCTGAGTAAGGCAGGATGACCTCGCGCAGCGCGTCCATGGCCAGGTTCAGGTCCTGCATGCGCTTCCGCTCGCGGCTGTTGATCTTGCGTCGCAGCTGCTGCTGCTGCTCTTCTTTGGCTTCCGACCTGGAGCCACTGCCCGCGTGCGCACCGGGTCCTGCCCCCGCGCCCGGCGGTTCCGCGGGCGCCTCGGGCTTCTCGCGCGCTGCCTTGGGGAGGAGGGGGGTCGTCGTGGAGGAGGAGGCGGAGGAGGAGGGATGCTGCCGGTAGCCTACCAGCTCGTACAGGGAGGCTCCGAGCTGCACGTCTCCGGGTCTCTGTGGCCGCAGCATGGTCGCGGGGGCCGCGTTCACGCGCGCCTGGGAAACTGCATAGTACATCTGGGGGGTTGTGGGGGCGGTGGAGGGCGCCTTTCAGGAACGCCCCGGGGTGGGCCCTTGGGCAGGCTGCCCCTCCCCGCGGACCTGCGTGCGGGGAGCGGATGGCGGGGCAGCGGTCGGCGCCGGACCCCTTTAAACCCGGCTTGGGAACCTGCGGAGCCCCGGGCCTCTGGGCGCAGCCAATCGGGGCGCGAGGTCGGGCGCAGGCGCGTCCTTATTGGCCACCCCTCCTCGGGCCCTCGCGGAGGTGCGGCTGGCAGCGCTCAAGGAGGTTATTGTGAGCGCGGGTGTCACAGGACAAGCCCCAGCGAGGGAGGAGAGAGAATGCGTCTTTTCGGGGGAAGTGTGGTTGTTCATGGAGTCCTGGTTGCATTTGGTGAGGCTACAACTCAAGTACCTAACTCCTTCTCTCTGCCTGTACAAAATTTTTGGTACATGTATATATGTATGCATATTTGTTTATTTTAAATGGTAGTCAAATACACATAGCATAAAATATACCATCTTAACCACTTTTAAGAATACAACTCAGTAGTGTTAGGTACATTCACATGACTGTGCAACCAACCGGTAGAACCCTTTTCATGTTGCAAAACTGAAACTATACTCATTAAACAACAATTACCCATCCCCCCAACTCCTGGCAACCACCATTCTTGTCTATGAATTTGACTACGCTTGGTGGCTCATGTAAGTGGAATCATACAGTATTTCTCTTTAGTGACCGGCATATTTCATTTAGCAGAATACCGTCAGTGTTCACCCAAGTTGTAGCATATCAGGATTTCCTTTATATTTAAGGCTGAATACTATTCCATTATATGTGTATGCCACATTTTGTTTATCCATGAATGTACACTTAGGTTGCTTCCACCTTTGGGCTATTATGAATAATGCTGCTACGAACATGGGTGTAACATATTTTTTAAATACCTAATTTCCTGCCAGTGTTAAAAATAATTTATTTTTAATTTCTGCCAGGTTTTGAGAACTAAATTTCTGGGCTCAATGACCATTAGAATTAGCATGGGCACTCCCTCTGGCGCCTCCCTCTGATCTAAAGTTCTTTAGGAACTAAAGAGCTTTTTGCGTTGGGTTTCTTTCCTCCCTAAAAGGGATGTGTGTTCATCCTATCAGTGACTGGACTCTTGCTTAAGCAAAAACTCACACAGGGATTGGCCTCTCATCAGAAAAAAAGCAAAAGCAAAAACAAAAACCCACCCACACACTCAATATCGGTTGAGGATGGGACTGACTGAATTTTTCTCTTCCTCAAATAAAATAGCATACTTGGTGGCTATGGAATTTTTTACCCCGACACCAGGGGTGACTAGTTCAGCTTGTCACCATCTCATGGCAAAATGGCCAGGGGCAGAGGGCCTTCCTTTTTTTAAGTCTAAATCTCTACTGTTCCATAAGGTAGCTAGCCACTAGCCCCCTGTGGCTATTTAAACTTAATTAATTAAAGTAAAATCGAGTTAGAAATTTAGTTCTCCAGTTGCACTAGCATTGCTTCACGTGCTTAGTAGTTGGACAGCACAGACAGAGAACATCATGACAGAAAGTTCTACTGGACAGTGTTGGTGGCAAGCGTAACAGAAAGAAAGTGAGCATCTCTCCCTTGGTACTCTTTTGTGTAAGACGAGAGATGCTGCTGAAGGACCTGCCCACCTTGGGAACTGATTTCAGCTCTGAGAGCCCATTGGCTGTGCCTGCGTTGTTCTCGTTTTCTTCCACCAATATTTGCCCCATAGGCTCACTCAGATCTCTGCTTCTAACCTGCAGCTCTACCTGTAACATCCTGCCCGTGCCTCAGGTTTAGCTCCAACATTACTTTCTTCTCGAAGTCTTGGTGATTTCTCCTCATCTTCTTCCTCTCCTCACACTTGGCAAACCACTTATAACATTTCCTTATAGTCTAGATTGTGTGGAGATCATCTCTGCATTTGGATGTGATTATTTTGAGGGCGGAGACCACCTGTTCCTTTCTGCATCCTCCCAAAGCCCAGCACTGTGCTTTGCAACTATGTGTGTCCTGGGGGTATCTGAGATTGGTCTGAAATCTCCACTAGCTCACAGCTCATCCCTTGAAATGTGCAAACTCCCAACAGTGTTTTAATCCAAGAGTTTCCTATAGGTTTCATAGAGAAGGAATGTGGTAGGACCCCTCTACCCTCAGGGGAGCCTGACTTGACATGGTGTTGGGGGACTCACTTAGGGAGACAGGAAGAGGCCTGGACAGGAAGGAACTGTGTCCCCATGCAGAACTAGACAGGAAAGAGAGAGACCAAGGAAATAGCCTTGAAAGTTTCAAGCAGGTAGGTTTAACACCTTGCTAATTATTTCACCCTTTAAAGCAGTCCGCTTCTCAAAGCATTTTTGCAGACATTTGGTTCTCACATGGGAAACCTGTGAGTTGGGCATTTTTTAATCCCTGCTGCAGGTGGTGAAACTGAGGCTTCCAGAGGGGAGTGGGTTTCTAGGGTTGACAATGTGCCTTCAGACAGGAGTGGCAGGCTTCTGGAATTCCCTCCAGCTGGACCAGGCTTCCAGGAAGCTGATGGAGAGGCTTGGGGAACGGGTTGAAAGGATAGAGAGGCCAGCCTAGGCCAATTCAGTATTGACCAATTAATGGGCTTCAGCCATGTCCCAGAAGAGAGGGTTTCTAGAGTCCCACATCCATGAACCCTACACCAGCCCCCTCTGGCAATGCCCACCCTCACTCTGAGGACCCCTCTGTCCAGTAGTGGAGGTGCCAGATTGGGGCAAGCCCCCAGCTTCCTCCTCTGCCCACATCCTAGGCAGGGGCCCTGGCCCTTACCCTGCCAGGAGGAAGAGGAAGACAGACGCTAAGCCTGGGATAGAGTAGCTTAAGCAGCACTCTTTGCATTTCCCATCCACAGGCAAGGGCACCCCGGGAATCAGAGAAGGCAGCAGACATGATGCTCTTCCTCCAAAATAGTTCACCCTCCTTATTGGGGGTGTCTCCGAGGGTTTTCAGCCCTTGCCCTCACTGCATCTCCATCTGAGGAAGAACTGCTTCCCCCACCCCCTGCTTCCAAGGACCGCTGTCAGTTGGAAACGCTGGCTGGTGTGTGTTGACTGCTGTTGGTGGAGCCCCAGAAGAGCGCTGCGGGTGGCCTTGAGGCCCAGCATGGGCACAGGATTTGGCACTTGTTGAAGCTGGTGACTTGGATGGCCCCTTCTGCTGGACGGGAGCTCCAGTGGCATGCAAAGTGTGACAGTTGGCAAGGGCCAGCAAGGCATTATAGCCGCTGGCAGGGGCCCTGTGGCTGTCTCAAGGGAGGCAGCTGCCGTGGCGTCCCACATTCAGGACATATTTGGGGAGAAACTTGTGTCCTCCATAACAACCCCTCTTGTCTTTGCCTAAAGGGGCTTGTGTGTGTTGTGTGTGTGTGTGTGTGGGGGGGTGTCTCCTTTCAATCCAAGGAGGTGTGTGTCTCAGGCTCCTTTTCCTTGTATGGAAACCTAAAGTATCTCCCACCCATTCCCCAATCTTGCCACCCACCCTAGCTTTGGGTCAAGAAGCTTGAACCTTGAAATAGCAGAGAGTGGAGACCCAAAGGCCAAGTTCCTAAAACACCTGCAGAGACAGAAAGGTTGTGCCACTATAAAGCCCGTCCACTGCTCAAAGCCCTGTGTTGTCACGCAAGACACTGTCCTCTTGCAGAAGGCCAGCTAAGTATGAAAGTTTGTCTTTGCTAAAATGTGCTGTTTAAACTGGATGGAGCTTGGACCTGTAATGAAATAATGGAGTTCAGTTTTTAAAGTGCTACTCTTTTCTAAGAAAGGCAGAATTCTTTGGAAGTTTTCTTTGAAAGTGGTGTTGAACTCCGCACCATCGCTATGGGCAGTGGCCGCTACATCTAATGTTTGCCCTAGGTTAGGTTCCCCCATCCCATCCAAATATAACTCTGCCTGGAACATGGAAGACAGGTAAGGCACTTAGCTTCCCTCTGGGTGGAGGAGAGGAGGAGTAGAGAGAGAAAATGGGGAGGGGCAGTGGTTTACCCTTTGATAAGTGTTCTTGGATGGAGCAGAGCTCCTTACAGTTAGTTATTCAGTCCTTCTCTCCTGGGACACAGAATCTAAGTCACACTTAGAAACAGTTCAGGTTAAATAAAGATTCCTGCTGGGAAAATCTGAAAGAATGTGAATAATGTTCATTTGCAAAAGGGAGTGCAAGTTAATCAAGTTGTCATGAACTGATACAATGTTTAGTTATTTACGATGTTGTTTTAAAGCTACACGGGTGCCACAGTTGTCCTTAGTTCCCGTGTGGAGGACACCGATGGTAATATAGTGCTCTCTGTTCTGGTGAAAATGCTAAAGATTATCAAATGTAGTAGGTGTATTTTATAAATATTATAGGGAGGTTTATTCTATTTTATTTAAAATAAATGTCATTTGGATCTGATTTTGATAAAATTTACTACTTAAGATTATTTCTAAGTCCACATTTCCCCTGTGAGGTTTGTTTGTTTGTTTTGGTGGGGAGAAAAGTCAAAAGGAAAGAAAAGTAGGAAAATCAATTAGGTGGCATCTGAGGTGCTTTTTTTCTAGATTTGTGAAAATAATAATAGCTTCATTTGGCTATTGGTGACATAATTCAAGCAGTTGGGCACATACTTTTTTTTTTCAAACTCAGATAACCTAACAGAAATAGAAATTTTCATTGCTTCTGTGAGTATCAAACACTGAAATTCAATATGTCATTAGAGTTCTATAATAATACATTTTAATGCTTTGCACTGCATATCTGAAAAGGAATTTTCTCTAAAACAAACTTCCAATAATCATGGTGAAACGCATTATGAAAAGAGAAATATATCTTTTTGTTTTGAAGACAATTGGAGATAGTTCCTGCCATACCTAAACTCAAAAGCATATTGGCGGAATTTGGGGCAGAGAAATGGGAATGTTAACTAACAGAGATCCTCTGAGTAAATGTGATAAGAATAACTGTGAATTCAGATATGTATATTATTAGCACATGCAACTTGGTGTCTGAGGGGTTGGTTTGGGACAGAACAAAAATATTCTCTGAATCTCCCTGAAGTCAGGAGCTGGAGCCAAATGTTCCAAAAGCTTACAC